TGCGAGGGCAGGGGGGCGCCCAAAACCCGGAGCGCTCCCGGCTTCATGGTTTGCCGGGCAGCCTCCAGACCCTGCGCCCCCAGCCGGCGCTTCCCCAGCGCAGCTGGAGCCCGGGAGGGCAAGTGCCCGGCCGGGGGCGCAGGGTCTGGAGGCTGCCCGGCAAACCATGAAGCCGGTAGCACTCAGGCTTCGGGCAGCCCGTATGCCTCCGGACCCTGCGCCCCCGGCCGGGCACTTCCCCTCCCGGGCTCCAGCTGCTCTGCTCCTCCCCTGACTCTTCGGCTCTGTTTAAGAGCCGAGCTGCCCGAGCGCTCCGGACCCCAGCCGCCGGCCGGGCACTTCTCCTCCCCGGGTCCAGCTGCTCTGCTCCTCCCCTGACTCAGACTTCGGCTCTGTTTAAGAGCCAAGCTGCCCGAGCCAGCGCTACCGGCTTCGGGCAGCCCCCATGCCTCCTTCTCACATTCTCCCCAATTTGCTAGCCATATTCATAGATTAAAGCCAGAAGTGACCGTGGTGATCATCTAGTCTGACCTACTGTATAGCACAGGCCATAAAACTTCCCCCAAATAACTCCTAGAGAATATCTTTTATAAAAGCATCCAATCTTGATTTAAAAATGGAGAATTCACCACAACTCTTGGCAGATTGTTTCAATGGTTAGTTATTCTCATTGTCAAAAATGTACACCTTATTTCCAATCTGAATTTGTCTAGAGTGAACTTCCAGCCATTGGACAGTGTTATACCTTTCTCTGCTAGACTCAGGAGATCATTAGTAAATATTTGTTCTCCATGTAGGTACTTTCAAACTGTAAACAAATCACTCCTTAACCTTCTCTTTGTTAAGCTACATCGACTGAGCTCCTTGAACCTATCCTTATAAGGCAGGTTTTCTAATCCTTTCATCATTTTCATGGCTCTTCTCTGAACCCTCTCCAATTTTTCAATATCCTCTTGAACTGGGGATACCAGAACTGGACACAGTATTCCAGCAGTCACATCAGTGTCAAATTTAGAGGTAAAATAACCTCTCTACTCCTACTTAAGATTCTCTTGTTTATGCATCCAAGGATCGCACTAGTTCTTTTTGTCACAATGGGTGCTCAAGTTCAGCTGATTATCCAGGCCAACCACCAAATCTTTTTCAGAGTCACTGCTTCCCAGGATGTCATCCCCCATCACGTAGGTATGGCCTATATTCTTAATTCCAATATTATACATTTAAACATGTTAAAACACATACTGTTTGCTTGCACTCAGTTTACCATTCAAAACAGATCGCTCTGTTTCAATTACCTGTCTTCATTATTTACACCACTTCTCCAATTTTTGTTTCATATACAGTCATCACTGAAAGTCTGTAGATCTTCTTCCAGGTCATTAATAAAAATGTTAACCAGCATAGGGATAAGAACCAATCCCTGCAGGAGCCCACTAGAAACACACCAGTTTGATGAGGACTCCCCATTTACAGTTACATTTTGAGACCAAGCAGTTAGCTAGCATTTAAGTAGTTTAATGTGTGCCACATTAATTTTATATCTTTCTAGTTTTTTAATCAAAATGTCATGCAGTTACCCAGGCAAATGTCTTACAGACGTCTAGGTATATTATATCAAAAGATGTGGACAGATTGGAGGAAGTCCAGAGATGGGCAACAAAGATGATTAAAGGTCTAGAACAGGGGTCGGCGACGTTTGGCACGCGGCTTGCCAGGGTCAGCACCCTGGCGGGCCAGGCCAGTTTATTTACCTGCTGACGCGGCAGGTTCGGCCGATCGCGGCCCCCACTGGCCGCGGTTCGCCGTCCCGGGCCAATGGGGGCGGCGAGAAGCGGCGCGGGCGAGGGATGTGCTGGCCGC